CCCCAAAACCCCAAAACCCCAAAACCCCAAAACCCCAAAACCCCAAAACCCCACACCATTACTTAAGTATTGAAATAGATCATTATAATTAAATTTACTATAATGAAAACTAATTCACCTACCATTCAATTTTGGGATGATTCTTCCTGAACTGTCTCTGAAGAGTACAGTGAGTCTCCTCCAAAAAATAATGTTTATCATTGGAAAGGGAATGCCAATATCCTCTGAGATGTCACCGGAAAATCAAAAAGCTCATCAGCAATTTCGAAGCAGCCTATCTTAGCTGAGGACTCTTGCTCTCAAGAATCAAAGGGAAAAATTGAGAGAAGAAGCATTGAGTGATCAAAGCAGACTTTTATACTTCCCCAAGACTCAACGGGCCGTGGATCTTGCTTCAAAGTTATGAAAAGACTCAGAAAGTCTTCGTCATCAGATGTACTTCACTTTCCTAGGAACTCTGAAAAAACAAAGTCTCTGAATTGGAAAGAAAAATGTGAGGAGAACCAAATGATTCCTTCGTCAAGAATCCTCCTCCTGCTCCACAAGAAGTCTTAATTCTTCTCAAATCTATCAAAGAGGAAGCTGCTATTAGACCAATAATCCTAATTTTTCATAAAATACAATTAACACAATATTCGTAGCCATCATTAAGGCCATTGTTTCAAATTTATACCGTTCCACTCTTGCTAAAATTTATTAATCCTTCTCTTATTCATTAAAACCAGGTTTCTTATTGAGCCTCAGTAGTAAATCAAGGAAAATTTATTTATTCCATAGATCTAGAGACTGAGATTAATTCCATTATTCCTATCCCATGATGCTATATTGTGTTACTAAGACCTAGAGACTTCCTGATGCTTACTTTTATTCAATATCCTTTGGTGATGTAATTGAACTAACTAACCAGAACTCCGATTCGAAAAACTTCGAACCGGCAAAAAGCTGGTTTAACTAAAATATTGGCCAGAAAATAGAAAGGTTTACAACAACTTATGAGAGAGAAGACATCTAAAAGTCTTTAAGAGGAGTTTATCATAATAGATTGAAAAATTCGTTTAGAGAAATAGGTTTGTTCACCAATCCACTTAAAATAGTACCTAATACTGAATGAAGCATATACACTTGTCTGAACTGTTAGATTTTTGAGGATAGTAATGAGCCAGTGAATCTAGCATGAAGGAGCTTTAATGCACTTTTCAAACCCTTATTAACGATCTCTTTATAGTATTTCAAGACTATGCACTCAATTTGAAGTGAATTAACCAGGCATAAATTTTCATATTGACAAAAACTTATTTATTAACTTGAAACCCAGGATTTTTTTCCAAAAGGGAATGAAACTGAGCAATTGACTGCTTTCAGACATCTTATAGTAAAAGGGACAATTTTCTATCGAGTTAGGCTCAACTTTACCTTGAAAAATGTAGAGGATGATTCTTACACAAAACGGTGAAAAGTTATGACAAACTCTTAAAAAGCACGGTTATTTTGAAAATTCTATGCTCAATGGAGTCCTCGATATTAAGTTAATTTCTTTCAAGATATCTTAAAGGAAAAGTTTTCGAAATTTCTTCGAAATAACCGAACTTCGGTTTCTTTTACTATCAATTAAATTGACTGCTCTCTTAATTTCGAAGTTCTTGGTAAACCAGGATATATTAAATATCAAACGTCTGATTAATTGGTTATAGAAGAGATTATTGAATCCCAACAAACTCTTTTGAACACAATGGATTTTCATTTGAATTCTCTGGGTATAATACTACAAGAGCCTCCTCCTGTAATCCAGGGATATCAATAATAGTACTCTAATGTAAAACCTTGCGTTATAAGTTAAGAAGCATGATTCAAATTAGGACATCGCCTCTAACTTGGACACTTATTCTATATAATTAACTTAATTTTTCACAATAGTAATAATCAGTTTTAATAAGCTCAGGAATTTAAAAGACTTACTGTTTCAATTCTACATGCTAGAAAGGGGTTTTGGGGTTTTGGGGTTTTGGGG